ATTTTGCCATAACATATTCTGAAAGTTAAGTAGTTTCATTAATGAGAACAGAAATGCAATTCCCAGGAAGTTACATGTTTTGTCAGAGTTACTTCCAGCTGAATTAGAATTCTGTACAAGCATCTGTTTCTTTTCCACCTAAAAATAAAATGCATGAAGGAAATCTGTCGCTACTTAAGACAAATTAAACTCAGAATATTTGTCTCATCTTCATCAGTTTATTGAACTGCAAACTTAAACTACTTCCTGCAAATCTATAATCTTCCGCAAACGAAGGGGATTACAGAGCAGAGAAGGTATTTACTTGCCTTCTGTGCCAGCGTAGAGACGGATTCATTTATTTAATGGATGAAAAAGTTCCAACTGAAACACCTACTGGTTATGGCCGTCCGCCTCTTGGTTTTTATTTCTCTTTGGCACTGGCTGTGCCTGGTGGTGGTTACATGCTGCCTCTTCTCTTAATTTTAGAGCTGATTTGTCCAGGCTCCACTTATTTTACCCGACTCGAACTACGTTGCTAATGTACATCAGGTGAATGTCTGGCTCCTGGCTGATGATGCTGTTCCTATGTACTTGTCCTAATCTCTCGTGCCACGATACCCAAGTCTTAGTGTTGGATGAAGCTGTTTCTTGTGGTGGTGTGCAGCTCTTCGTTTCGTGGGAGTTATGTTTATCCAGGGTTTGAGTCAAATCCATATATAAAAATGTCTGAAGCCCTTTGGGATGAGAAAGGCTTAAAATATTAACACTAATTAATGGCTCCTTCTCTGGCGAGCTGTAAACAGTGAGTCATGTGCCACTTAGGGTTTTGCATGTTTAGTCCTATTTCTGTGTCCTTGCAGAATGCCTGCTTGCAGATTTGTTTTATTGAGTAAACACGGATCCAGCAGAGCCCTGAGGCTTCATCAAATGAAAAATGGAGGGAGGAGGGAAAGAAAAGACGTTATGTGTTGCCCAAGGTCGTGCAGTGAGTCACTGGGAAAGCTGGGTTTAGGTGCTGGGTGTTTCTGGCTCCCTCTTCATTGTGCTGCAGGGCATGCTCGTCTGCCTGGGATTTTAATTAACTGTTGTGGCGAATCTATAGTTAATGGAAGAGAATCACGAGCTGTAACAGTAGTTACGTCATCCCGATCACCGTCAGGGTCACCATGTTATGTAAAAATTGAAGAGTGCCCATTTACTAAGTATAGTTATAAAGGGCCCTAGACCTAAGCAGTTAAATTAGGTTTACAATGACTGCCTTAACATCCAAGGCAAGAGCTTGCCAGGGGAAGGGTGTGAGGGCACAGGCAGGCTGTTCTGGCATAATTCTGGTTAGAACTTTGCTATCAGTGCTCCTCTGGTGGCCTGCAGAAGGACAAACTTCCCACTCGATCGCTTGATGCCCGGAGATTTTGGGCTGGCTTTAAACTGATTTCACTGCAAAGCCACCTCTACCATTTAAATAAATAACTTGGATTTCTTTGGTAACGGGGAGTTCAGTTCTGAATGTGGCAATGTTACTTTTAAGCTTTTTTTCACAGGCAAAACCCTCCATTTAAAGCCACTACAATGTATATATTCACCATAACCAACTCTTCACGGCATTTACTTGCGGAGGCACTAACGAGAGTATTTACATGCAGTTAACGCGCTCAGCACCGCACTGTGAAATCACAAGGAATGGAGAACACATTTTCCAAAGCTGCGTTTCATAATATGTGCAGAACAAGGCGATTTTTGCAGTTGGTGTTTGTTCCTAGCAAAGGAAAGGTTAGCCTCTTTTCCAGAAGGCACGTTGAATCACTCGAATGACCCCCAGCCAATCCATACAGCGTTAGACTTTGAACTGAAGCCTAGCTAGTATAGGCACAGGCTTGAAAACTCAGCACAATCAAAAGTAATTGTATTAGTCAGAGATTGTTCATGTATTTTCTTTCTGCTGCCAAGTGCGATTTTGGCTTTGTAACTGTTTTTATAACTCAGGAACATTGTATAAATCTTTAACTTTGTACATGACCAGTCTTTTTATTCTTTTAATGAAAAAAAACCCCCCAGATTTCTGCTTTCTTTTACTTGTCTCTGTTTCATTTGCTGATAAATGTCCTCTTTCTCTATAAAGTATCAGTTTTCAGTGCACTGGGGTGCAAACAAAAGCCACTTTTTGTGTTGCTTTATTTTTTTTTATTTTTTTAAATAAGGAAAAGCACTGCCAAAAGGAGATGCGCTTCTTGACCAACGACATCTTGAAAACACGTGCTACGTAAGCTTCATAGCATCTGGTGAGAGAAGGAAGGGCCAGGGTGCTCCCTCTAGCCAAACAATACCCATATGGGGCTGTTTGTGTCGCATATGCTGCGTGCTTCCCAGCACAGCTAATCGTAGCTGCCTCTTCCCCGCTGCACTGGGGAGGTCCCTCGGAGTCGGGGCTGTGGTCTGAGATTATGAACTGCTCAGCGGCCTCGCCTTGGGATGTTGCTGCTCCTCTGCCGCACTGCGAACACGATGGGGAAACGGGGTATTGCTGTTGAATCCTTCCCAGAATTAAACCACAGCCTTGGTTGGGTTTATCTGTGGCTGTGGCACTGATAGGGGCCACAGATATTTATTATTTAATAATAGGGCATTGCTGGTTGTGAAAACTTTCCTCTGAAAGATAATTAGAAAGGGAAATGTTTTTCTCCTTACTGTATTGCCTGTTCTGTTGCTCTTCCAACTGATTCTGTTTAATAAGCAGTTGGTTAATTATTTTCTTGCTGTCTGGAGACTGAAAGATAAGTTTCCATAGAGCATCTTATCCTGTCTGGGATTTGGCAGTGAGTTTTATTGAAACAATCTGTTCATCTGAGTAAAATTTTTCTGGTGGAATCGCAACAAAGTTGGATAAGAGATACACAAGACCGGGCTTGTTAAATATTAAAACCATAACTCCTGTACTTGCAGCAGCATATAATGATGCCTGATGCCTTTATTTTTTGTTTTCTGACTTACAGACATTTGTGTATCTCCAAGGATATTTGAAATAAAACTGTAGGTGGAAAATACGAAGTGATGGGTATTTGGGATAGTTTGTATGAGTGGACTTTTGTCCCTAGGGGTAACTTATTGGGACAGGCTTTCAAACTGCTCGTGACACAAGGCCTCTAAAGAGCTAGATCTTGATTTCCAATTTAAGCACATAATATTTTCCCTTTATGCCAAAATTTAGTAATGACTCAGCTTCTATTAACTTCTGAAACAAAACTATCACTAATTTACAAACCCGTACAAATAATCCGGGCAGATTAAATATTACCTTGTTTCTTTGCTACACAGTATATAGCTCTATGATCCCATCAGTTATAGGCACATAAATCTGTGTGCGTTGGAACAGGTATGGGATGAAAAAAAGGGCACCTTTACAAGCTTTCCAGAAAGAATGAATTACAAGAAGGCGTATTAAGCCAATTTGTACCTCCATTTTAGGTACGTAGCTCAAGAATACCTTGAAGGTACCCTGTTTTTTAATAAAGTGTCTATGTTATCCACTCCTTGGAAATTGGTTTAAGCTAATTTCTAAGTAGACCTTCCACTGCATCTAGAATCACTGGCCTGTTCTGAAAGTTTATACTAATGCCTTTTTCCTATTGGGGCCAGGTTTGCTGAGCAAAGAAAAGAATTTTGAATTGGGCCGAGCTTGGAGGAAAACTAGGTTTGCCAAGATACATCCCTTCAGACTTCTTCTGTTTTGATTTCCAGTTCAGTGACCTCCTAATCCTCCAAATCCTTAAAACCTGAATTTATACATGTCCAGGTCCATTGATACTAATAGTCATAGTCTAGTCTGTGTGATTAAATATGTAGTTAAATACCTGGGGAGGATCAGGATTGTTTGGACAGCAGATTAAACATAGACTAAAAACCGTGTCACATTACTGAAGGGGTGAAGACTGCTTTTTAAATATGCAAAGAAAAGAAGAAATGGTGCTCACTGTGTATTTTACAGGCAGGTAATAAATAAAGGCAAAGTATTTATTTGAAATATGATCTGTTTCAGAACACTCAGTTACTTGTTGAGTAGGAGCCCTTAAGAACTTCCCAACTGTTGTGCGGTTGCTCAGGGGGTTAGTGGTCCAGCTTGAATAATCTGTTATCCAGCCAGTTCAGTTCCTGAGAAATCTTACTCGGTTCCCTTGATCTATTGCATTGATGGATCCAACCTTCCCTCTCTTTTTACTAAAAAAGTTACTGTAAATTGCAGTGATCTCTATTGATGCTGGATTTTAAGAATGTTTTGTGTCTTAGTGGAAATGTCTTCAATAACGTGATAGTTAATGTGTTTAGAGATAAGATCCTCAAAGGAAAGTGTAATGGTATCCTCTACTGTCATAACAGAAAAATTCCATGAAGTCTTTAAATCCTAATATCTCCAGAAGAAGTCATCAGTGTATGTAGGAGGCAATATAATTATTTAGAAGAGATAGTCCATTGAAAAGAAGTAAGATGAAATATTAGCTGGTGTCTTATGGGAATATAAAACACTTTTAACTGTATATATGTATCTTTGATACACTTCGGCTGTAGATTTCTTGACTTTAGTGTTCGCTCTCAATATATTATTTTTATTTCAGCAGCTGCTGGTTAATTATTTCAAGAAGCTGTTGGAGACAACTCATTCCTAGTATCATCAGATGTTCGCTTTGTACAGCAGAGCATAAATATTCCTTTGGTCTTCTAATTGTTTCTGATTTAATGGCTACCTGTTGTGGGAAAAGCACTCCTGCGGTCTAAAGAGCCCTCTCTTTAGAGTAGAAGCTCATTGAGATATTTCTGTACCAAGCCACATGAAATATTCAAAGAAAACAGAACAAGGAAAATCCCCAAGGGATAAAAGCCTCTCTCTTTTCCTCTGCTCTGTTAATGTATTCACGATTCTGTAGAGTTTATTTTATCAGTCTAATAGTGTTTTAACGTTTGAGTCTTGTAGTCTTGTTTTGATTTGGTGCTTTTTTTTTTTTTTTTTAATCTGTTTCTTTTTGTAGGGTAAACTGCCGGTTCTTCTGCTTGGTCAGTCTGCGGACTTGAGACCAGGAGAATTTGTGGTGGCGATTGGAAGTCCGTTTTCCCTTCAAAACACAGTGACTACAGGGATCGTTAGTACCACTCAGCGTGGAGGGAAGGAGCTGGGCCTCCGCAACTCCGACATGGACTATATTCAGACTGATGCCATCATCAACGTACGTCCTGCTCTGAGCCTTGTCCCCTTCAGCTCTTACATTTCTTGAATAGTTGCTTTGAAAATGTCACCAGTGATACAGTTCTTAAGAACAGTTGAGCGTAGCTGGCTCTTCCTTCATCCATGTAAATACGGACAGCTGCGCTACAGCAGCACTTGATTGTTATTTAAAAATCCCCCAAGGAACCACACCAAGTACAATATCTGCCTTCAAAATTCTTACAAATTACAAGGGAGGAGGCAATATTCTCTGGCAAATTTTCGAAATCCATTATGTTTTCTGAAAACGAAGCCAAGCTTAGTTTAAGGATTCCAATTGGTTTCTGCATTGAGGCAGAACAATAGTTTTTGTACTAATACTGTTAGCCTTGTAAGAAATCTTCACTAACAGCTCCCACAGCTGTGTCTTCTAAGTTGCTAGTGTGGTACTATTAAAACAAAAGAAAAACCTTGGCTCTCTATTTACTCTGGCAAGAGAAGAAGGGCTTAAGCATTTGCAAAGCTCATCTAAAAGGGGTGATGTTAAGTGTAGTTAATGGGTTTGGATGTTAAGACTGTTCTATTGCACATACTTAATAGACAATGAAAAAATGACTACAGAAATATTTCAAAAATTTATTTTATGTTTTCCTTTCCATGAATTAAGAGGTAGATATTAAAACATATTCTTGCCATGTGTTTATTTGCAGTATGGAAACTCTGGAGGACCCCTAGTAAATCTGGTAAGGGTTTCTTTAAGTTTGCATAGTGTCAAGCTGCTTATGTTTTATTTTAAAAACAAAACCAAAAAAAAAAACCAACCCCACCTAAATCAACCAACCAACAAAACCCCACACCAGAAATGTGATTCAGAGCATCTGATATCTGGCAGATTACGCAAAAGTCATATGGTTCTTACTAATCAGTTGTCTGTGTTCGTGCTGGCAAATCACAAAATATGCTTGGATTTCAATATTTGAGGGGTTTATGATTTGCATAGTTTTGAGCAAGTGTCATGCCCGATATTTTTTGCCCATGCCTTGCAAAAAGTAGAATGTGCATTTTAAAGTTGAAGTGTTTGCCCTCACTGTTTACCGTGCAGCCAGCAATGGGTTTGGTTTTTTTTTGATACTAGAACTCAGCTTAATGGTTCAAAAACACTCCTTGCCCCTTTATTTTGGATCACACTGAGGCAGATTGAAAACCCCACGTATTTATCTGAATATTAGGGTTTATTTGCTGATATTGTAGCACATAGCCAGAGCTGACCTTGCAGCAGCTGTGGATAAACCCGAGAAAGAACAGCGTGAAGCAGGTTGCAGACCCCAACTGATCTGTGAGAGCTCTCAGATGGGGGCACCTGGGGTCGAACAGAGGAGAGGCAGTGATCCTCAATGAAGGGTGGCACAAACTGGAAAAAAGTGTTAGTCAGAGCTTCTGCCTTGGAGATTTGGCATTTTTTTTCCACCCGACTCACAGTTTCAGTACCAGTAACCTCCGTTTAAAAAACTGTAACTGGATAGTTTTTGTCTGGGATAGATCAGGGAAGGAAGCTGCTGAGATTTCAGAAGGGTTCGAATCATCAGGTGACAGCAGAGATGTTTCATCTGAAACTCTCCCTTGGAGTCACATTGCCAGGAAAAGCTTCTGATTTTGGTGAACTGTTGTTTTTCTTGATATTATTATGCAATACTTGCTCATAAGCGGTCAACACCATGTTTTCACGAGGTTCCTGCTGAAATAAACAGCCCAAATTTGGCTGTAGAATATGCTGCTCGCCTGCTGCAGGCAGGAGAGCTGCCCAGTTCTGGTATCTCTTCTGCTAGTGGCAAGATGAATGTGCACATCAGTTTTCCAAAACTGTAGAATAGCTTTTTATCAATAGACTCAAAAAATTAGAATTAAAGAAACCGTTGAGAAAATTGAAAGCCAGCTGCAGAGTGTTGTGTGAATTTGTCTTTGCGATTGCTTGGAAGAAATCATGCATTTCTCTTTGACACGTTTCACATTTGCTAATAACAATTTCTTACTTCTCCAGGATGGTGAAGTCATTGGGATTAACACATTAAAAGTTACAGCAGGCATCTCGTTTGCTATCCCGTCGGATAAAATAAAAAAGTTCCTAACTGAATCCCGCGACAGACAAGCTAAAGGTACTGTATGTCACTGCTTCGAAAGAGAAAAACATGAAAATAGTAATAAACCAGAAAGACTACAGCCTTTGAGGCTCTTTTGGTAAGAGCAGTTGATCAAAGCCTGTTTTCCTTTTTGTAGGAAAAGCTATAACCAAAAAGAAATACATTGGCATACGAATGATGTCCCTAACTCCTAGGTAAGTAACAGTGGTGGTTCCTGCCCTTCCCGGAGTGTGGTCACTGCGTGTGTTTGGGTCAAGCTCATGATCTGAAGAAACAACCAGAGGGTTTGAACCAGCAGCGTGTCCCTCTGCAGGTGCTGGTGACAACTTGCAGCTGACTTTTGCTGCCTTTTTCTCTGCATCTGCTACATGGTTGAACTTTCCTGTAGACTCTTGTATGAGCTAGTTTTTGAACAACTCCCTGCCTTTTTCTTTTCCTTAATGCTTCAGAAGAGAATAGCTAGTGATCGTTAATTTGTCCTGGAGCTCTGTTCCTCTTGTTCCCATCTGTCCCGTGCTGCCAAGGACCAAACAGGACAGAAAGTTTTCAAGAATTGCAGCAGACACATGCATATTTCCATTTCTTTAAAATTATTTTCACGAAACAATTCACTTAATGTAAAATGAAGCTTTTGTGTGACTTGCTTATTCATACTGAAACCAGAAAAGACTCACAAGCAGGTGATACTGCGTCCTGTAGAAATAACCAGAAGTTTTCCTGTGTGCAGCATCACAGGTATAACAAAGCATTAAAACCTGAAGGGCTATTTTTTTTTAAGGTGTTCAGGATCTGCTGGTTCTAAAGTAATGACCAAATGCTGAAATGTTTTAACTCCAATTCTCTGTATCTATTGAAATGATTGCCTTTATCAGATATAGGCATTGAAAAGCTGTGTGCATGCAAGAAGTTAAACACTTGTAAGGGTTAAAATGAATTGTGAAGTATCACATCAATGTGTAAAATACCCTCAGTTCATTAACGCAAAGGGACTTAACTCAGTAAAAATGCATGATGGGTTTTTTTTCCCTGTCTTGTCAAAATATTTTTGTTGCTGTTTCTTCATTTTCCAGCAAAGCTAGAGAGCTGAAGGATCGCCATAAAGACTTTCCTGATGTGGTCTCTGGGGCCTATGTTATTGAAGTAATTCCAGAAACACCAGCTGAAGCGTAAGTTGAAGGACTTTTCTCAAAACCGCTGCCACTGACTGAAGGGGGTAATGATAGAGAATGTTCCCAGCTTAACTGGCTATCTTGATTATGCTAAATTAACAAAATTATGACCATCTGATAGCTATTAGGTTGTCTGCTGGAAATCAGTTTGTGGTTTTAGTCCGGTCCCTGATGGGCAATATTGCAAACATATCAGGGTATTGCAGCGAAGCCCTGTCAGTCTTCCTGGCCAAAAGGGTAAGGATTCAGTGGGCGTGAAAACTCAGTTCTCCTTTTTCTCAGCGATTGCTTCCAAGACGTGTGTTGCACCCATGCCAGTGCTGAATAAAGACGTTTGCTTGTGCGTGCTCCCCATGGCCCTGCTGGTCACTCCCGTGGGAGAGCAAGGGAGAAGTTTTGTGCCCATCTTGTGAAGACGTGACCGTCTCAACCCAAGCACCTCAGCGTTGGGCAAACCCATCAGCTCTCCTGGTGTGCCTCCATCGGGGGTGAAAGCCTCTTGGCAGGAGACACTCTTCCCTGTGAGAGCTTTTCCAGGAGTCACGTTACTGGGAAGAGCTTTTGGTTTTGGACAACTGATCTTTTTCTTTGCATTATTTGGTTTTTGCTCAGAAGCTCACCTGCTAGTTTGTACCACACCTCACGAGATCCTGGGCTGAAGTACAGCATCTGGTCTGGCTGCCTTTTGCTGGAGACCCTTTTCTTTCAGAGTTTGCTTAATATGAAACCACTCAGTAATCCAGAGTAGGAAATAGGAAACTTTATTCATTTTCTGAAACTTGAGATCATTTAAGAGAAGAGTAAATCTTTGTGGCAACAGAGAAGCGTATGTAGCACCAAAGGCAGGTGGGCATAAAGCTGCTTGGAGCAGGCATATGTTACCTCTTAGGAAGGCTGTGAGGGTGGCTGGATGATGTCATTTTGTTGCAGTTTGGATGCCACTATAAAATATACAGTGTTAGCTCTCTAGTGTGCTCCCTAAATTACTGCTGCGTTTTGTAGATAATTGTTGGCAGCGGTGTTCGTGCAGAATACTGGTGTATGTCTGTAATGTGACATTAAACTGCAGTCAGGGCAGAAATAATGTGGCTGCTCCAGTGTGGGACTGAATTTACTGCCTTGACATGCAGGTCCGGTCTGAAGGTGCAGAGAAATCTGTGTAGGAGTACAGATAATAGCAGAGAGTGGGAGTAGGACCTCGGAGAGGTGGAAGACATGAGGCAATGTAGCCTTGGAACCTGAAGGCAAACTCTAACCAGGATGCTTCCTCCGAAGGCTGGCCTGGCGATTAAAGTGCAGCCCTTGTTTGGCCGTGTCCCCCACTCCTTGTCCCCCTGCCAGTGGATTTCCCCATTCTGCTAGTTTCCTCTCCAGTGCACGTTGTGTAGATGTTCTGGGTAGGGGATGAGAGCAGCTCTGCAGCAACCTGTCCTGGGTGTGAGTTGAGAGGAGACACTGCCTGAGAGACCAAGATAATCTGGAATGGTTTCTCTCATAAAAATGTTTTAAGCCATGCCTTCGGTAGGCAACTGGAATTGTTGCAGACGTTGGCCAAGGCATCCTGCTTGCAGAAGACACTCATGTAAGGCGTTTTCTGCGGGCGGAAGGGGCCGATGACTGCTCTGTGGTTTTGTGAAGAAGGATTATGCTGAAGGGCTGAATCATGTCTGATCTGGTTACTTGGTTAATGTTTCCATGACTTGGAGCCAGATCGTTGTGCAAGACCAGGCAAGACGTTGTGGTCGATGGTATCCCTCACCACCCCGTTTCTTGGTCCCGGCAGCTTAGGGAGAGACCCGTGGCCCCAGGCAGGGGGGACCTTGTAATGCTGGGTCTTGCTTTGAGTCAGGAAGGGTTTGGGTTCAGTTTGCATACGGTGCTGAGGTCAGGAGATTCTGGGGACTATGGGCAGGTGGGTGAAGGGAAAGGCACGCATGAATTTTGGGTGACTCGGCTAGGTTGCTGCATGTCTTATTCTGCTCAGGTTTAAAACACAAAGGTAAGGTGAAATAAAGGTATGCATGGGCAATCTGGGACCAAAATTCTTCACGTGTTAACACATAGGGCCACGCAAATTGCTTTGCTATGTATATGTGATTAAGGCTTGGAAAATTTCCCCTCTGAGTGCCTTGTTGGAGTTATTTTAAAGAGAAAAATACGCTTCTATCTATTCTACTGAATCAACATCTAGGATCCTTACTGCAGAATTACTGCACTATTTGCAACAGCAAATTCCTTTCAAGACAGTGGAATATGGGATTCATCAAACTTTTGTACCTCCGTCTGATTTCTGAGGTTTCTGCATTGTGTTGTAATCTCCACTGCTTCATAAATTCAGATTGCTTTTTGCACGCCCGCTGTGTCGCTGTGCAACTGCCGTTGGGTGGGAGATAGGAAGAATACAGCAATCTTTTTCTTAAAACAATATTGTAAAGACAATGAAATGGCAACTATAATGATACATTGCTGCTTTGTATTTTCAGTGGTGGCCTGAAGGACAACGATGTGATTATAAGCATCAATGGACAGTCGATAAGTTCAGCCAGTGATGTCAGTGACATTATTAAAAAGGACAGTATGTTGAACATGGTTGTACGCAGGGGCAATGAAGATGTTATGTTAACAGTAGTTCCTGAAGAAATCGATCCCTAACCAGAAACATGAGCTGGATTTCATGTTTTCTTTTAACAGCATTGGACTGCTTATATTCTCTCTGTGCTGGTACAGGAAACGTTAGACTTCTGACCAACATTCTGCTTGTTCAGTGGATTAGTATTGGCCAACCGAGTAACTTCTAATAGGTTTAAGGTGCAAAACCAGCGTAATTTCACATACTCCAGATGATAATTTTTTTCCTTCTGTATTATGTATGCAATGTATTCTTTACTGGCTGTTACATTCCCTGCTTAACAAATCGATGTTTGCTTCCCTGTGTTGAATAGATTTACCATTATTTCCGCTCAGATTTAAACAAAACCCACGCACACAATGTGTGTTGTGGTATTCAGGTATTTATAGGTTAGCTGTGTTTTAACTGGAAATACCATTGTAAAGGTGTAGTTGGTTTAAAAGAAAATACAATTTGGGGGGCAAAAAAAAGAGTTTGGTTTATAAACACAAAAGAAATCCCAACCGAAATAACCTTTTGAGGATCCCGTGCAGGACTTTAATACTATGATATTTTCCTAGTGTTATTAAAAGAATTCAACAGTACGTCTTCTTGTGAGTGGTTCATTTTACTTCCCCTTGTGGAGTGTTTTTTTCTTTGAGCAGCACATCTGCCTGAAAGGATGTCCTGGTGGTCTTTTTTTTTTTTTATCATCATAAACCGAGACACTTATTTTTCAGTGTGTGCTTGTATTTGCACTCCCGTGCATCTGTTTTTCTTAGCGTGGCTGGCTTGAATTTGTCATGTGGGCTATCGCAGATTGCCTGTCTTCCAGATGTTAATACGTTTCCCTTACTGTTTTAATTACAGCTTCACCAATGCCTGAAGTCTGTTTGCTCCACTATAGGAAAAATTGTCATATTATGGATCACAGATGCTATACCATTCCGGTTGAGATGTTGGGATGTTTGCGACTGTTGTAGATCTGGCCTTAAGCTCTTTCAGACAGGCTGCTTTATTTGCAGTCTTGAGTGCTGGTGCGTAGATAGGATCTGGTTTTGACTAGGACAGTGGGCATTCCTCTAACATGGAGACGAATCTTTATACATATATTTATGGATGCCCTTGAAGTTTGGGTAGTGAATGGGATTGTCTTACTGTGAAGCAGAACAATCAACTAAATTGAATTTCAGTGTAATTACTCATTGGGTAAACAATAGGCTAAGCAGCCTTTCCTTTGTTGAAATATGTATCTCGGAGAATAAATTTAAGGGCTATAGATAAGTTTTGGTGACTCTCATTCCTAAACGTGCTCTTCTTTGGAAACTGCTTCTTAGTAAAACTTCAGCTGGGTAGCTGGCAGTTTATGATTTTTAAAGGAAGGGCTGTATTCCACACAATTACAGCAAGAATCCAGCTAGACCTGGATCCCTGGCAGTGCTCCTTCTCCCTCCCAGCTGTATTTCAGTTCTGTTTCAGCTAGTTTATCCCAATTGGGGGAGTCTCTGTATCCCCAAGCACCAGTGCCTGCACTTACTTGCCTGCATCACTATAAATTTACACAGTCACACAGTATATGGACACTTGACGTGATTGAACACCTCATTATTGATTCACTTGCTCCGTCGCCGTGATAAATCACACACGTCTAAAAATCTGCCAAGATATTATAGTGCCAAGCACTGAAGGTCTGCAGTACTTTCTGACATGAAAGATGCAACGTAGAATGATCTTGCGGAGTTGCTTTGTCAAATATTCTCACTGCAAGTTTATTTTACTGATGTTTGATGAATGGTTTGGCTGCCTGTTGAAGTGGTGTTATATTTTGCAGACCGTTCATGCCCTGTGTAGTGCACAGTGTGATGACAGGCAGCTCTCAGCAAAACCGAATTAAAAAAATCACCTACCTCCTCTGCTACTGCACCTAACCCAGCTAGCAAAAACTTAAGCTAAAGCCCCAAAGCCAGGAAATGGTGCTTAAAACAGAAGGTATTTTTCATCTGCCTTTTTATTTCAAAACAAGCGGTTGCATAATTTACAGAGCTGATTGATTCGCTTTGTTCCTGTTGTTTGTTGCCGTGATCTCCTAATATGCAAAATCATTAAATTTTTTTTGCTTGGTTTCTAGCTAGCTGCTTTGGGTTTACCGATGATGTCCTTGCAGTGACAGCTGGCACAGCACATCTTTATGCCTGTGCTTTAAATAGATGCTACTGTGAGGCAGAAAGGCCTCAGGGACAATGGCTCGGGTTTTGTGCGTGCATTAGGAAAGAAGCAAACGGACTTGATTTCTGTAAATGGTTTTCCTGCGCCACTGGGATTAGTGAAATATTTGACCAGATTTCTAGCCCGTAGCTCCATCTAGTGGGATGCAAGATGGTCTCTTCTTGCAGCCAGTTGTTTTCCATCATATATTTGAAAGTGTTTTTCTGACTTATCTTTTTTAAAAAAATTATAATTCATTTCTTTGCATCAGATATCCTTAACCATGTGCATATCCTGAAAAATATTTAGAAATTACTCTTCTGGTATCCAACCATGTTTGCAGCTACCCAGATGATTTCCTACAATCAAAGTTGTCTCAGTGTTTTTTAATTATTTAAAATAAGATTGCTGATAAGCAGAGACACAGAAGCAAAGTTTGTCTTTAATACAATTAATTATCATGTATTTTCGATGTATTATGGGGTTATAGATTTGGAGTGGTTTTTATTCTTTGCTTCAACACTCCGTTCTTTCCAAAATGCAATTGAAAATACTTTGTACAGAAGAGCTTTGGCACAGTTTGTATAAATATCAGTTTCCTGGAAATTTTAGCATGTGTTGGACGCTAAATCAGGGAAATTGGACATTCTGGCTTGATTTTCAGTATTTTGGAGTGTCTGAAATGGAAACTGGAGTTGCTGCGTATGTGATGCCGAGTAGATGGCTACGTGTGGCTACACTCGGAGGTAGTTTTGAAAAGCTAATACACAATTTCCATGGGGGAAATCTCTCGAGCTGTAAAAGAAATGATCATCAGTAACAACTGTCTGGTTTCTGTGGCTTATATGCCAGGCAGTAAGGTCCTGTGGTTGCAATATCAGAGGACTTTTTTTTTTTTACTTGTTTTTTTTTCTCTTTCCCCCCCCTCCCTCTAACTACTTTGTATTTATGTTAAAGATGCTGAGGATGCTTTTAAAACTTACATCTTTCCAAATTAAGAGTGAGAGAGACATCTAGTAGGGCATTAGATTATATGTATGTTCTTATTGTCTATCAGAAAAATAACTGTGGAGGTGATTAAAACTGCAGTTGCAGATACCCAGGAGAAACAGCGGTGATCAACAGGTTAGTTGTCACCAATCCAGAGTAGTGAATGGCGAGTGCCACTATTTATTTGCATGCAGTGGTAGGTCACTGCCAGGAGTCCTTTTCATCCTTAGAATGAGAATAAAGAAATGTTCATTTGAGGTTCCAGGGGTCTCCTTGATTGAATTAGATTTGAAATTATTCCTGCTGTTCCTAAATTCCCATATTATTTTCCACTGTTTCCTCTTACACCCAGAAAATAAGGATGTGACTGGACGTCCTTTACTCTGTTTCCCACCCACACTTTGCTCTGACTCCCTCCCTGTTAGTACTGCTGATGTCTGGCAGCGAAAGAAAACCCAGATTACATCCTGGGCTGACGTTCAGTGAGACTTTGAAGTTTAATGTCACTGAGCTGTTGTGAGCCTTTCTTCACACTGAGAGGCAGAAACGTCCCTAGGAGACAGGAAGGGGCCAGACAGAGAAGTGGTGCCTGAAGGGCTGCCTCATCTTGCTGTACCCTCAGCTTTAAGATGAAAACCTCAGCTCTGCAACCTCCCATCTGGACCCCAGAATTTGACCAGCATCTGATAACTTTATCTGGCGATGAAGGGCTTGGTAACATCACACAGAAGGCCGGTGCCATTCTTGATTGTACAGAAATGGGTAGCAGAAACCTTTGCTGATTTTACATTCTCAGCGCAAGTACGTGGTAAATCTCTACACCCTGCACTGTGTGTCCAGCTGTGCTGTACAGATGTCTGACACACACTCCATCTATTTTTGTTCCCTTCAACCCCCAAAATTCATTCTCTTGTGCAAGATCCTGGGAATTCAGGTCTGGAGCCACTGGGCCCCAGCCAGTTTAGCCTCTTTGTACTGTTACTCTGTGAATATGCAATAACTTGATTTACTAAGTGTTACTTATTGCACAAAACTACTGCTAAAACCAGTGCATATGTAATTTGACCAATTGGACAGAGAAAGTGAGCAAGAAAGCTACCAGAGCAGCTTATCAATTTAATCTTATCTGCATTTTCTGGAAAGTTTTCTTCCAATTTTTCATGGTTTTGTTTAGTAGTCATGGTACTGCAGTGTCTGTCCCCATAAACTCTCTGAGGAACTGGATGATAATTAGGAATTGATTAGAGAGAAGATGAGTCAGAGCTAAAGTATGGGAGTCAAATTTACTAAATTTGGTAAAGAATTAACTTTAGTAGCTTAGAAATACTGCATAACATGCTGGAGAAGAAAATCAAATATTTTTTCTGTTCGTTCCTTTTCTGTTGGGTGTTTATGCAGAGTACAGAGATTTTCAGACAGTTGGCAATGTATCTGGGGGAAGTGGGCTGTGTTACAGCGGTGTCCTGCTGCTGGAACACGCTCCATCAGGTTTCTGCTTCTGCTACTCTAAGTAGTTGCCATTAACTGATCTCCTGAACCTGCTAGAAAACTGCTGCTTACGTGAATTACCATCTTGCTGTGGGTTTGGGTACAAAGCTATCGATGCATCAAGAAGGGAACGTGTCTGCCTCCCTCTGTGGGCTCAGAGCACCATGCAACAGCAACCGCTTGGTTCATCTGGACTCGTTGCACAGACGTGGCTCAAATGGCTTAGCTCTTCCATGCAGCAACTTGTTTAGTTACTAGAAATGCTAAATACTACAGCTCCACTCTTGCTTCTTGGCATCGCACACCATCTCCCGTATTAGAAAATCTTTAGACACAACGTACACCACGCGGTTGCTGGTCATCAGATAAACTGAAGACTGTACTTTCTCATCTTTATCATTGAAGTGCTGGACTTGCTTAAACAGAAATCAAAAAGTAGAGGCTTTATTGCTAAAATGGAAAGGGTTACTTATTTTATCTATCTTGAGGTAGAAGTCATGATATCCAGATGTTACTGTAGGGAAATCTTTTCATATAGCCATTCAAATAACTATAACGTGCTGTTAACCACTTATTTAACTGTAAATCCTTTTATTTCGAATCAACCAATTAATAATAAAATAAGATAACTGCCTGTGCAAAGTCCTTTGGTCAAAATTACACCTGCACCGTTATGTTATGCTAACTGTGCTGTCACTACTAGAACTTGAAATTTGCACTCATTAGAGGAAAACAGTTCAAGCAGCATGAGGTTAGCTTCTGGGTATCAGGATGTCTACATTAAAATTTCTTTTATGGCAATTAATTTTCTTAAGTCTGTTTTCTTTGCTTGCATTTCTCCCAGGGAATAGGAACCCAGAAGGGTTAATACAATCTTTCTAAGATGAACTGATGTCCAAGTCAAGTGTGAATAGGTTCTTCT